AGGTCGACAAGGATGTGACTTGCCCAAAGCGGAAATTGATGGGAAAACAGTGGTCTACCATTGGGCAATGCACCTGACATTTGACGAAATAGAACATGGCACGAAAAGTTCAACCGAACAACTTTTTGTGCCATCAGACTACTACGCCAATATCAGAATGACCTATAACCACACTGTCCTACCTCGCTGCCTACCACCCGCCTAGCCTCCACCCCCTCCCCCTACCCCGATGATTCGGATGAAAAGTAAGCAAACTAATGGGTGGTCCCATAAGTTCCTCATCCTGTTGAACTGCTTTGGAGTATTTCCAACGCTTTCGAGCAAACATTACCTGCTACTCGTACATTTCGAACAGAAGTGCTGCACTATTTAATTGCAAGTATTGAGGAATGTGGAACCGCACCCGTCAAGTCAGCTCAGACCTCGACATCGCTCACTAGGCGAAGACAATTCAAAGATTCCCATTGGTTTTATATGATCGAAATGTAGCCGTATACCCACAAGCATCGTGGTAAGAGCGAGGGCTACCGTGGTGCTGGTCGGTAGCAGCCTAAATCTAGTTCGACGCTTAAAACTCCTCCCCCACTCCCTTGAAGCGGCGAGGGGAGAAAGAGAAGTTGCAGACTTCCCATTTCTATTTTTTTTCGTGAAAATTCTTTCAAATTCTCAAAATGTTCCAACATCCCACACCTTCTAGATGTACCCCTGACTGTTAAGCTTTTGTGCACTAGGGTACTCGCCTGCAGCTGTGAAGGAAATTGTGCTGGAACTATAGAAGCAATCGGCAATGGTTGTCTTTTTGTGATGCGCCACGCTTGTCATTGTGCCACTGTACTTCCATAGTAGCATTTGGGCGCTTGTCCAAAGCAAGGAGCTGCTGCACAAATCATTCCGCTCATCTACCAAAACAAATCTGGAACAAATTAGCTCGTCCCGGAAGGGATGCATAGTTGGCCTAGATGGCGTCGGATCCAGGATTTGATTCCGGAACTGTGCGCGTGGTGAGCGGCGCCATTTGCTCCAGGGGCTAGATGCTACAAAATAATCTTCACAATAACCACACAGCTGTACAAATGTGCACTGATTGTAACCTACTGCCCTGTAAAAAGCGTCGTAATTTGCGTTCTTTCCTTCTTGCATGCTCCAGTTTCGGATTACTCGCATCAAGAATCTGGACCCCTAAGATTGCAAGCTCAGAAACACCGCTGCTTACCTGGAGTTTGCCAAGAATAAAAAGGGCTCTGTATGCTGTGCAGTATGGAATCCCAATACAAGCACCTTCTTCGAAGGATAGATCTGAAGAGCTAATTTCACGATTTTTTTTTTTCAAAAATGCATGCTAACCATCGCTAATGATTGAGATAAAATTCCACTCTGATTATAAATGAACATATCACTCACTGTTAAATGATTCTCACTGCAATTACAGGAATAAAGTGCACACGCAAATTAGCTATCTGCGAGGCAATATCGCGCACTCCAGTGAGGGAAAATGCGAAGTAGACGCGATCGCCCTTTTTAACATCACGAACATCAGCAACCAACCTAAATGAATAAATTTCAAACCAAAATAATGAAGGATAAAACATAAAGCATGAGCAATCTTTTTTAGGATGCGCCACGCATTCCATATCCACTCTGAATCGCTGCGATATTTCAAATGTGACTGGGCTATACAATAATGCTGGGGACGGCCTTCACAGAAATCGGTGTTTTATCCTTGGCCAATGATTCAACTCAAAGAAGTAATTTGAACAAATGTGTCGCTGAATCAAAGCTATGACCAGTACTATCCGGTCGATAGGATCATCGTGCCTGGTAAGCGTCGCCACTTGCGCGCTTACACCATTATTCACTCGTTTCAACGAAGTTATTACGCAATCTAACAAGATTGCCATAAGAAAGAGCGTGCTTGCAACGTACATGCATATGTACACGTACATGCATATGTACAAATAAGCGCTATAGTGAAGAAACTACAACACTTAAAGGGTCTATTCCAGTTAAGGGCATCTGATGCAGTTTCTCGGCGAACTAGTGTGAACTCGAACATTCCAGCTTTTCACGCGTGACTGCCCTCACCCCCACCCCCTAGACTGGCTACACTCCCCCTGGCTCGGAGTTACCCTAGCATTCTGGAAAAACTGCTCCCTAACTGGAATAGACTTAACACGTTGACGACAGCCCCTTATGCGTGTACCTTGGCAACTTTTTGTTTATTTTTTTTCACAATCGTCATAACTTCTTCAATAATTCCACTACTGGTAATTGACTCACAGTTTTTCGGATAAGATACGCATGCACACAGTTTTGAAATATGAAAAAGGCCAAATAAACCATAAAAAACTAGCCAGAATCGGGTAAAATTCTGACGCGCATGCGCGTCATGCTGTCGTCAACGTGTTAACTTAAATTTACATTCAGAAAATTTTTACTTCATATTCCGAGAGCGCATAAAAACCGTATCATAAGCAAAAGTGCTAACCTTCGCTACAACACCTGCGCCGTCCTTCCCAGGACTGTACGGTAGGTTTGGCTTGGCAGCATACTGTCCATTTCGAATGTAAGTATCCACAGGATTGACACCGGACGCCGCGACACGAACGAGAATCTGAAATAGAATAAAGAGAAATAAGTTCAAAAAAAGATTGTGGAACTCGTTCACCTAGTTTTGAATAGATATCGTCAACAAAAATGCTCAAATCCAAATTTTTCAAGATTTTCACGAGGTGTGAAAATCTTTGGAAAGTGCGTGGTATGAAATACGGTAGGCAGCGAAAGGATGAACATGCAGAAACTCAATTTCAAAGTGCACAGAAATAACCAAATGGCTTCCTACCTGGTCGCTGGATTCTATCTTAGGTATTGGTACATTGGACAATACTTTGATCACGTTGGGACCACCAAACTCCTTTACGACAGCAGCAAGCATCGAACTTCAGTTGACTTGTCAACAATTCTTTCGCGTAGCTCGTGCTAACGACGGTGTCCTTAAGCATTGGAAGATTCAAACAGATTCTGTAAAGAAAATTAAGTCGCAAGGGAGGGCAGTTTTGGGG